TAGGTTTTATTTATATAACAAAGGTATTTTTATTTTTTTTCTCATACTGTCAAAAGTGTTTTTATTTTTTCCTCGTGCTGTGTCTGAACAGAAGTATGATGCAAATGTTTAAGGATTGATAGAAGAAATCTTTTAATATAGCCAAAACACTACGAATACTAATTATTCGTTTTACGATTAAAATACAGAATGAATTGCGTATTAAAGTTATATAATATTCATAATAGTAGAATTATAAATTGTACGCTAAAAAGCAATTTTTTAAAAAAAAGACCACATTTCATCGCGAGTCAGATGCAGTTGCTTCCAAATCTATATTATAAATTAAGAGATTTTAAATGCAAGATTTTTGTCGGAGAATTTTTAATGTAAAGAACATGACAAAAAATTTTTAATTATTAATTATTAATTTTTATATTAATTATTAATTTTAATTTAAACCAAAGTTGCTCTATCAACAACTGTAAAGGTAAGTCTCATGGAGAAACGTATCAACAGATGGTATAAAAGAGCTTGACCAATCAGAGCTTTACGCTCGCATTTGTTTCATTCATTTAAAATTTAACACGCGTTTTTCTAGTTAGACTCAATAAATAATAATTAAAGAGTAACAAAAAGCACGTACACGATTTTGATGTAAAATTGTAATGAAGTAATAACAGCAATCAATTGTCAAACGTTTCGGTTATTATTTAACCATCTTCAGTGACAAACTTTAGAATAGCAGTGATATCAGTCAAAAAACAACGATCTATATATCTCGACATATTAAACGGAAATCATCCGTTATGATGATTTTTGAAATCAGTCAAAAAACAACGATCTATCTCGACATATCAAACGGACGACATACCAACCCTGAAGATAATATTTATATATGTCGTAACACGTATTTAAAATAAAGAGATATGAAATTTATTAAAGAATACTCTTTTGAGATTATACAAAATTTTTCACTTTCGTTTTTCTTATCCAAATATAAATGGTTGCAGAAAAATTTGTTTATTAATTGACTATAATTTTTATTAGCTTTCTATTTGTGTACAAATTAAATTACATTGAAATATACTCTTTTACGAAATTATATATTATACACTACACTGTAAAAAAATATGTAAAATTACATTAAAATATGTAAAATTACATGAATAATAAATGTAAAATTACATGATAAATAATGAAAAGGTAAACATTTCTATTATTTGTCGTGTCATTTTACACTTATTATTTACGTAATTTTACATATTTTTGTGTAATATATTACATATTTTTTTACCGTGTAAATCTGTCGCGCGTTTGTCTTTCATTCAGATTTCCCACTATTTGTAATCTATTTCTTAATTGCTTCAGTGCCATGTTCTTTTACAAAACTGAAAAATAAGTATACATATATTGTACAGCTCTAAATCTTACGAACTGCATAAACTGCAGTGCTTGCAGTATATGCTCTACTTTGGAAAGACACTTTGGTATCGCATTACAATATGACTCTCATGGCCCGATTTTGCATTATTTGCAATTTACTCACAGCTGTGTTTCTCCCATATCAACTAACAACTACGCACAATATTTAAAGTGAAGTGCTATGATTGTCTCATATATAATATAAATAATAAGATATAATTATTTTTTCTTTCAAAGTTTTTTGCACATGAATGTTTTCTTCATTAAAAAAATTTTAGTTTTAATTTTTTTAGTTTTAATTATTTTCTTTATTCTGATTAATTTAATCGTTGCATGTCTTTCAATTTAAAATTGCAACTAATTTCGGTTCATTGTACAATGCTTTACTTATGTTTCATTTTCTTAGACGTTGCTTCTCATATTTCGTCTGAAGTCATTTTTCTCCTTTTTCAGATTCTTGAAATTCTAAACTTTTTCTTAGATGTCATACTATCCAGTGCAATTTACTATGATATATTATTAACAAATTTCTTCGCTTTCACTCTGACATTCCTTGAACTTGCTCTATTTTCTATTCTAGTCTAATAAATTCGTCTGCATTAAATTTACTGGTCGCTATCATTAAATTCTCTATATTTATTCTCAGATTTATTCGCATTCAGTTTCGCCACACATGATCTGTTATTTTAGACTTATGAATCATTTGTACTTGTGCCGTATTATTAGCAAAAAGTAAATATATATAATTGTTTGGCTCTTTCGTAATTCTCGTCGACTTCTTGTCGATATACAATATTAACACATTGTTTCATATCCTTAAGTTCTACAGCTTTTGCGTATAAAACAAATATATCATAAAATAACGTAATTTTTTTGCATCTTTTTTTTATTAGTTTAATACAATAATAAATGCTTTTCCACGATTAAAGTACATATAGAAACAAAGTGCGAACCTACCGATTTTATGTTAAGAATAAAAAAATTTTATTTTTTAATTCTTAACATAAATGTTTCACTTTCGTGAACTTTATTTTTTCATATTTTAATTTAAAAAATTTTTTGTTGTTAATATAAAATTTCATGTTAAATTTTATGTTAAAAACAAAAATAATGTTTTATTTTTTAATATTTTAATCGTCGACTTTAGTTGTCTTTTGATCGATCAAATGACGCTATTTTAAATAGTTTTGATATATTTTCAATACTTTCCCCAGGAAAAAAGGCTATCATTTTTACATCTTATATAGTGCATAGATACTCATGGAACTCGAATTTTAAGTTCTATCGATAGTCGAGAAATCGGCCTCTTTTAACATCCAAGTTTCCACCCTTGTTAACACATCGACTGCGATACAATATATGACTCCTTGCGGTCACATATTTTACACATTGCCCATGTGGCCCGCACGTGGGTCACACGTATTCAAGTTTCTCTGAAGCCAGTGTACTCCAAATCAATAGATCACGCTAAACGATACAATGTTTTTCTATAGTACCTTTGTGTTGGCTCCCCAATATCTTACCTCTTCTTTTTAGCTCTCAGATTTTACATTTCCTCCAAATATTTCACGTGTTCTTTTTAAATCTTAGATTTATATTCCCTCTTAAAGGTATATGCAATTTTAGATGTAAAGAGAGAGAGAGTGGATATTACAAATATTATTTTATTTTATTTTATATTACAACTATTACTTATTTTAATCTGTGATTTATTTATCTGCGAGCCTTTTGATTTAATTCCTAACCATTTCTGTATTTGTCTACATTTTTATAACTGGTTTGATAACTGGTATCTGTCTGTAACTCCAGGTATCATGGGGTCATTTGAGACCCCAACATAAAATACTTTCTCATTAGTGGGATATTAGATTTTTATGGTTATTTATTTAATTAAATGAAACACTTCCAAAGACATCAATCAATCATATCAGTCATTTTATTGACGTGTTGTTAATAATTACATAACTTTTTTAAAATTACTATAAAAAAAATTAACATTAGTTTTTACCTCTTGGGTCATTGTTGACTCCACGATACCAGTTAAGGGTTAAAAGACTACAACAATATTAAGTTTCAAATAATCGAAAAATGTATACGAAATGTATTAAAAAATATATTAATTAATTTTTAGCAAAATAATGTATATATGTATAAGAAGCATAAAAAATACAGTGAAATCTCGAAAACTTCGAAGTTTCACTGTACTTTTTGAAACTTCGAAATAGCACACAAAACCCCTTTCATAGATGTCGTAGACGCACGTGAGTAGCCTGAGTGAAACTAAAACGGTACAATTACGTAACAACATGTGTTTCTCTGTTTTCGGACCAAAAAGAAGAAACGTAATCAAGCGGAAAAATTACGATAGTTGGGCGCGTCTAGTGGTCTCAGTGGCAAAGTGGTCTGTCTACTGAGGGAAAGATCATAGGATCGAGTCCTGGGAAAGCCCCCTGTATTCTTTTTTACACAGATTTTCACAGAAGTGGAATGTTGAAATCCCTTGATGATTATTGACTCTGAGTAGAATTAGGAGAAGGAGAGATGATTTTAAAAGCACTCTTGCTATTTTAAAGACGAATATTTGGGTCCAGAAAGACCGATAAATGTTTAGAGTCAGAGCAGAATGGCTGATTTATAATCTTAAGACACGTTTTATGCCTTAAGTCTTTGTCTTAGGTAACGCACAACAATATCTTATGTCATTAGTCAGCGATTTTGCTCAGGCCCTTAAAAAAATATGTAAAAGAGCGGAGAAAATTGATGGTTTGGGACATGTTTAGTGGCTCCAGTGGCACAATGGTTGCCTACTCAAAGGGGAAAGGTCCTATAGGATTGAGATTCCTCCTACAGAGTCCCCAATAATTTTCTCTGCTTAAAATAACGTGGAATTAGAAAATAATCTGAAGAACGAAACAATATCGATGCGGCCCTGAGTTTCGCGGTTTGGGAGTGAAGTGGGGAACAATCTCGCTATTACGTTCGGAGCCCCAAATCGTGCGCTATTAAGAGGTTTCAGTGAATAACAAAAATTGCACTTCCTTATATAAAAATAATATTGCACGTATTATAATCCATATATTTTTATCCATTAATTCGAACTATTCTAGAGATAAACTGGGATATATAAAATCCAATAAAAATATAAGACAATAGCGCAAGCAATAAATTTTGAAGTTGCGTTTCCGAACAAATACACGTATATCGTATTCAAAAAATGGATACAAAAGACACCGGAATTTGGTGAGACGTCTGGAAACATATCATGAATATGTGATAGAGCAGATTCGAACGGAGAGGTTGCTGAATATATTTTCTGTTCGTTGTCAGAAGAAGAGGCTGATGTTGAAAAGGGATGAAGAGAGGATACGAAAATTCTCTCCACAATTACAATAAAAAAATACGCATAGATTCTGCGCGTTCTTTGAGAGAGATTTGCGTCTTTTAACACTCCCTCAACCAATCCTTTGGCATTCCCTCACCGATTCTTTCCTTTCTTCTCCCTCTTTATCTACCTACCAACTTACATGTCCCCACCCTTCATCAACCGGCTGCCCCCACCGAGAGTTATATACGTATCTTGTGGCACACACATAGAGAGGAAGTTAAACGAAAAGAGGACGAAGATCAGTGTGACACCGCGCTCCCTCAGAGACAAATCCTTGCATGATTATCAGTTCGTGTATGCAAGATTTGTTGCACATTAAGCGTGCACATTCAATTGCATGCAACGCGCGATATCATTTTCTCTTCACACTTCTATAAACACGCGTATACACACACACACACACGTGCGTGCATATATACACACACACGCGGAAATATTGTATAAACGCTGGATAGTCTCTATTGATAGCGGCTCGGCAGCGAATTTTGGAGCGGTTCGTGTTTCTTGCCTGTTCACCGACGCCGAAGGTACCGCACCGAGACCAGAGAAAATCGTATATACATATATATATATATATATATATATATATATATAGTCATATATATTTATATACATCTGTTCGTATACTACTGAAATTAAATACTTGGAATTAGGCCTTTGAGACAGCTCAGAAAGACAAATTCATCAAGAATGTCGCATAATATGAAGAATCTTGCAATGGTGCACGACGATAGAATTCAGGTGAGTGTATTATCATAATATAAGTGTTGCCATTCGATATCTTGTACGTATCGAATTGATATAATTTATATATAATATGTATTTTTAAAAATTATATCAGAAAAGAAAGTTTAATTTGAAATGCATAAAATTACTTGTACAGTAATTAAATAATCATATATTAATATATTTAAATATATATATATAATAATATATATATTAATATATAGGTATATATTTTTTTTATATATATTTTGTAAATATATATTTTTAAAAATATTATTATATATATAAAATATTTATTATATAATAAAATATATATAAGCATGTATTATATACATGTATTATAAGAATCACTACTTATAAAAAAAGATTCACAGTATTTTTAATAATTTATTTTTACATGAAAGAAGTCATTTTAATGTGCCATAAATATGTTCGAAATGACTTAAAATGCTAATTTATCAGAACAATTATGACGCCAAAGTAACATGTAAAAAACGTATGTATACTTTTTATTTTTCCATTCCGAATAAATAATATTATTTTACTAAATATTTTTAAAAATATTTTGTTTTCGTTTTTTTGTAGCTTTTTTATATTAATATATAAATATAATTATATTTAATTGGCTCCCTTAAGTTACACTAAATCATGCAACACTTGGCGCCACAAAAATTTGAATTTGAATTGCTAATTATTAAAAAAAATTACTTAATTTTACTGAAGATAATTTTTATTTTTCGGCATCAATATATATATAATACACGCATTTCTTATACGAAAACTTGCGTGCATTCGCCACGTGGCTACGATTGCACGCAATATCGTAAATGTCACTGATGCGCGCGATAGATGTCTATGTGCGCACGCGCGCATATATTAAAGTACATATTAAGTGTCGTGTATGTTTTTATATTTATTATATGTATAGTATACTCGGACATTTAAATTAAACGTCATATGTTTGTCATAAAGGAAAAATATTTAAATGTTATAAATTTAATATGAATGGATTCGACGGGAAAGTTCGATGCATTTTATTACACATGGACTTTGTTAATTATGCGTATGACACATGTAATTAGATGCTCGCTTTTGAATTTGCCACAGACGAATTACAAGGAAAAAATATCGACATGATTTCTATGATTATTTCGAGACTTCTTCTTCTTTTGTTTTTTTTATTGCATTTAGTTTTAGAAAAATTAAAGTGTAGAAAATTCTATTCCGAAAATAAAATTAAATGTTTCAATATTAATTTAATCGAAAATAATATATAAACTAATATATATATATATTCTATTAATATTTAATTTTTCAAATTTTTTAAAAAATAAACTAAAATACATATATTATTTCATATATTTTTTTTCGATTAAATTATTGAAACATTTAATTTTATTTTTGGAGCAGAATTTTCTACATTTTAATTTTTAATATATATCATTAACAATTAATTCTTCTAAATCAAAATGCAATATAAAATAGAAAAAAAAAGAATTAAAAAATATACTTTCGTCGTCTTTGATATTAGACGTCATATACAATACTCCTATATTCTATTATTAGTAATAAATATTCTTTTATATAAATAAGAGTACCTCTCGCATCTTATGTAAATATTATTACCATTATCTTAAATTAATTACTCATCTATTCTCATCAGATATGCGCCGTATTAGAATTGTTGAGCGACTTAAATTGCCATCATTTATCACATTATTATTATTATAAACTGTCATATGAGCCGTTTCCTGTGTTACGCAATATCAGTAAATCGATGACTTCGTTAATATAGGCGATGCCGAGATAAGAGATTCTCGGGAAATACGCCACGTAACTTTGAACTAACAATTTGCCATAATGATCGGATGCGAAGTTCCTGATAATTCAAAGCAATTGTCATTCTTCTTATTATGAATCATCGCAAAGTGGCAAAAAATTTGACAAAAGATTCATCTTCTCTCGTTTAACAAATTGCAAAATGTACGCTGCGACGTTATTCATTAGGGCAATTTATTTCGGAACTAGGAAACACACTTTATCTTATCTATCTGTTTCATTGGAATTCTCGAAATTTGATCACGTTTTATTAATAGAATTGATAGCAAATTCGGCTGGATGTATCGATTTAATCGAAAAAATATATAAACTAATATATATATATACATATATTATATATATATTTTTTTTAGTTTATTTTTTTAGAAAATTTGAAAAGTTAAATATTAAAAAAAATATCAAAGTATATTTTTTATTTTTTCTAATATTTAATTTTTCAAATTTTCTAAAAAATAAATTAAAATACATACATTATTTCATATATTTTTTTGATTAAATTATTGCAACATTTAATTTTATTTTTGGAGCAGAATTTTTTACATTTCAATTTTTAATATATATTATTAACAATTAAATCTAAATCAAAATGCAATAAAAAATACAAAAAAGAGAATTAAAAAATATACTGTAATCGTCTTTGATATTAAACGTCATCTCACTTGCTCAATTTCCTGCGATTTTTTTTGTCAATTTTCTATATCATTCGATATCAACCGCATAGAAAATTCTGATATGCATTAATTAGTTCAATTAAATTCGAGATAAGTATAACACTATTTTTTTAATATTAGATTAAGTTGCATCGCGATTACAGCAATTCACGATAAGCGTGACAGATCTATCGCTCTCTTGAAAAAAAAAGAAATTGGCTTAATATGCTTTACAAGTTGCGCGATAATATGCTTAATATGCAATGTCGTCGGAATCATCGTTCAATTTGATCACGTGAACTCGCACACAAATTTCCTGATCGGTTAAAATATTTTTTGAACACTCAATACATTCGTGATTTTTTTTTTAGTTTAACGGTTACAAAGGAATGACATGTTTCTTTAATTTTCGATTTAAATAACGTGGATTTATATTTAAAACATGATAATATTTGACTTCTCATAAAAACTAAATTATACATCTATATACACATACGTAATTTTTTTAATGCTATATATGTATTTTTAAATAAGATATTTTTCACGTATTTTTACGTACAACGAAGATTAATAAAAATTCATATTGTATTCTTAAAAAAAGAAAATTAAAGAAAAAAAGGTAGGACTAAAAAGGGGGAAATAAATAAATAATAGAAAGTGACATTAAAAAAAAGAAATAAACAGTGGAAGTAAAAGAAATTGTCTAAAGAAAATAAAAAAATAAAAAAGGAATTTAAAAAAACACAAAAAAATACAGAAAATTATGTATAAATAAATTGCGATCTTGAAAATTTATTTAAAAAGATTGTCAATGAAGCAATATTTTTCTATTTTCGATCAATATAAATTTATTACAAGCAAATGCGTATTTTGTATCGCCCGATCGAATCTATAGTTTCTACTGTGACCCTGATCGATTGGCAACAAATACAGTTCTCGAGGCTCATTCATTTACATCGACGATCGATGCCAAATCGTGTGCATAACGGCTGTTTCACGAGTTTTAATTAATTTAATCAGGAAAACACAGTCACACACATATGAAAAAGCAGCTTTCTCGTTTCTATATATTCGCGAAAAATAGAATAAGAATTATGTTTCAGGAAAAAATTTTTCTTTATTTATTAAAAGAATATTCGTCTAAAAAAAACTTCTTTTATAAGAAAATATTGCTTTAATATATATTTATAATATATATTTATTAATATATATTTATTAATATAAATTTATTTATCCAAAAAATTCTGTACACAAAAAGGAGAACACATGTAGGTAACAAAAGACCCTAATACTACACATTTGCTAAATGGGCGACGAAAAGTTAAAGGTCGTTGCACAACAGGGAATAAATATATCAACGAAAAACAGCAGGGAATAACATCTGCTCTTTTTATGTTTATGGTCAATATTTTCCTTGTTTTTATTGCTCCTGTTTCCTGGAATTGTGTAACGATCTTTAGAAGGAGCGCTTTGGCACAAAGGCTTCTTGTGAATGGCGTCTATGTTGGGATCGATCTTTTTTCATTAATTTGTCATTAATTATTGCGGAAACCACAAAACGAAAGAGGACTTTTCCGTTCATTTTAATTCACTTTCTTTTATTTTTATATTTGAAAGACATGATTTATTATGATTATATAATTGTTTCTCCGTCTCATTATATATGTATGAAAGACTGATAAAATTTTATTCATTATTATTGTGAAAGTTGAAAAATATAAAAATGTCTCTTCTCATATGCTCTTTAGAACATAATTAAATTTGGTTAAAAACTATTTTTTTTTTAATTTAAGACACAAATATTTAACTTTAATTTTTTTAATAATATGTATTAGTTAATATAATAAATTATATATATAAAATCAGTAACAGTATTTTATCAATGATATATTTCTTTTATTCTACATAAGAAAATCTAGATGTGACATTCCGTATCAAACTCAAAACAATTTGAATTTATTAAAGTTCTTTTATCAGTAATAGTAAAATGTGTGATATGTAAATTATTATTTTTTCGGATGGAAACTTTTTATCTTTGTTTGAAAAGCCATAAATGTACGTTTATAAATATACACTTTATTGTTTGCTATATGTGACTTCACACGAGACACACGGCAATATTTCTTGATAGATTTGATAGTGACTTTAATGTAGAATTAATCCAGTTATTATAATTTGTTGAATTACTTGTTAACCTTGCTTGTTCGTAATGTTGTTTGCAACTTCATTCTACTGATATTGATTTTTATTAGCTTTGTTTTGCGATTGTCGAATCTATTTTCCGTTTTAATTTTAATTTTTTTAGCGAAATATTTCAATATTTGATAAAAATAATAAGTTTTTTCATAGATTTTTTTCTTGATTTATTTCCTAAAATTTTATTAATTTTTTACTCATATTATTTCAATATTTGATAGAAATAGTAAATCTTTCTATAGATTTTCTTTTTCATTTTTCCCCTAGAATTTTATTAATTTTTTACTCAAATCATTTATCCTTGATATTGATTTTTATTAGTTTTGTTTT